CGCGTATGGAGAGCAGCTGTGCGATTTGGGGCAAATATTTATTTGACAGATATTGCGATTTCAATTTGATTTGCGATTTAATTTTGTAGTCAATCTTCAGCTCAATAATCTGTATTGTAGATTGGGTTGGGTTTACGGTTGGGGTGGGGGAAGTCATAAAAAATACAATTTATTAGGTAGCAGATAGCATAAAAAATACTTTATACATCTATTGATTTTATGTTACTGCAGGTTGGGTTTAGGGTTGGGGTGGGGATAGACGTTAATAAAATACAATAAATGAAAAATGCTATAAATTATATAAATAATTCTCGTTAAGTTCCGGCCGCAACTGTATCCAATCTAGCAATGAGCCTAATCCAGCTGTGTTTAACTGCGATGCAAGTTCTAGGATAAGACTGGGTTGTTACACTTTTCTGGAATTATGGCAGGTCATGGACAACTAGGAGTTGTGAGGAGGTCCATACTTCCTGCTAACTTTTCCTCCGCTCTTTGTTTACTTCCATGTGTTGTGCACATGAGTATCCCTGCTCATTAATTCTGACCGCTCAAAATGCAATTAAGGAAATCGGTCTAACCAATGACTGATGTGGATGTTGTCAAGTGACAAGAGCATTCAGAGCAGTCGGTCTGAAGCGAAACGAAACCAAGACGGCTGAAAATGCTCCAATGCATAATTTTTACCTTTGGTCCAAACCAAAGAAAACATACGTTAGCTGTGAAAGTGGCCATACAACCATAATATTATCAGTGTTCAAACGCAGACTGATCTATGCAAGGACAACAAACAGCTTAAAAGCAGAAGAGATCAGAAAGTCGTTGCAGGCAGTTTGCATAGGTAATAATATTACCGTAAGAGGAAGTACTTGTCCACAGAAACTTCACTATTATCAATCTCCAGGTGCTTATGTGCTTTTCTAGCCACAATGAAAACTTTGTCAGGATGGAAGACTGGTCAAACTGCCCTGAAACAAGATCCCTGTCATTTCAATAGATATGGTGCAAAGCCATACCCAGAGGCTGAACCCGTACACTGAGCACCGCAGCTGTCGCCATTCGTCTGGCAGCAGGCAGCATTTCACAATTGATCTGGGAAAACAATAATAAATCTCCAAATTCTCTGAATGTCCAAAGAAGCACAAAAACTGAAACACTAAAGCAACTGGAAGAGAAGAGTAGCTCAGCAGCAACTTGTCAGACTGACTTTAAATCATGGGGGTGTCCTAACTGGCGCTTCATCAATCCCTGTACAGGATCCAATGGGTGGGATTTGACTTTCCCAGCTCTCCTGAGTGTCAGTAAAGAAGCAGCTGCTGTGGTCTAGTGTTGACAATAACAACCTGGAGCTTCTCTTCGCCAACTAAGCACTTTGAAAAAAGGCTTTATCCTCAAAAATGCAATTGTATAGGGCTACATTTTAAGCTTAATTGCATTTGGTGCATGACTGGAATGCTAGTATCTTAGTATTTTATCCAGCAACAGAAGAACATGGAAACTATGCAAAAAATGTTTACAGAGCAGTCGTCTCATCTCAAATGATCTTTCATATGGGGCAAGGTTAAAGCACAGTTCTCTCAAAAATGAAGTTTTTACAATAATTTATGCAAACACATCCAGGATGCTGGTGACTTTATTTTTCTTTAATAAAAAAATGTTAAAATGTTCTTGATACATAAAATGCGAGCCAATCATATAACCAGCACATTGGGAGTCAAAAAACATAAAGAGGGAAAAAAAATAATACCCACAACTGCTGACAAAACAGCGCAAGATTCCTGGTGCATAATCATAAATGCATTGGAGCAAACTCTCATGAGTTAACACGGTTTGGTTACAATTTTTGTTTTATAGTTTTATATATTCAGAATAAGCAAAAGTACAGTTCAGATGGATAATACAACACTGAACACTAGGGATAGGAGGATAACCGGATTCAAGGTTTACCACAGTTTGAAAAAAAAAAATCAAGGTTTTGAAACCGCAAACATTTTTTATACCGTTCCTAAGGTGCATTTTTTATGACTATTTCATTAGGTTCTTTAGGGCAACAGTATTTACAGCAAAAGGACCGTCCAAATTTAAAAGCTACTGGTCAGCTTCACAATTCGGGAACTGTTTTAAAAACAAGTCACTTACACCAACATACAAGCATGAAGCATGCTGTAGACCTGAACAGTGCAGTGGCTTTACTTTATATACAAAAAAAAAAAGCTATGCAAAATAATCTTAAAATAAAACATATTGTGCTCAATGGGGAAAAAGTTGTTTTTATAACCATACATTTTAAAAGAACTTATTTTTGCTTATTTTTTAGCAGTTATCACAATACTGTGAAACCTTAAAACCTTGATTTTTTATCTAAGGTTATCATACTGTCAGAATTTTATACCGGCCCATGTCTACTGAACACACACTTCATCCCTCAGCAGTGTAAACAAGAAGCATCAGTTCATGAGCAAGTTTGCATCTGTCTGCATCATGTGACAGGAAGCTTGCACTGCAGACCATTGTGAGCATGCTAAAGACCACTTACTGAGGCATTAAAGATAATTGCCATCTTACAATATTAGAAAACGTGATAATAGCTACAATATTTTAAAAAACTAAACAACAAAAAAAAATTTTAGAGAAAAGATTTTCAGAAAAGATTAGAAAACATCACAACTGATATTGAAAATGAACAGTCATGGTTTACTGTTAAATAAAACAAAACAGACACTTTAACAATGTAAATATTACTGCCACTTCGATTCACTAGTGTAGTTATATCAACCTGAAATCATCAAGAACAATCAGATAAACAAAACAAAAACACCAGAGTCAAGTTACTTATTTGTTAATTGTTATCTTCTGACTTTCTTATCATGGTTTGATTGTTGGTCATACAATATTTCAGAATCCATGCTAAAATGTTACAGATTTCTGGGAAAACTCTGCTTGGTCTCTTTCAGAGGGTGTGCTAAATCACCAACTTATCGCAAAAGCACTGTGAGCTAATATATATGCAGTATTTCAATACATTGCCAAGCCCTAATAGTAATATTGTTATAAATAATGTTCAGTTTTTCGCTTAAAGAGACCTCAATGTATCATTAGGAGCAATGGGTATTAATTCTGTTTTGCCTGTATGGGTTTTTTTTCACTCAGTGGCAATAAAAGTAGCACATTCTGATACACCAAAAAGCACAGATTCAGCTATAAATATATTTTAAATTAAATTAAAGAAAACAAATGTCACCCTGTGTAATTTTGGGATGAACTAACTAATTCATTTTAAAGCTGGTATATTTCTGGTATATTGACTCTTGAGTCAAGTGTAACGTTACGAGGATTAAACCTTCGGGCAATGTCAGCAGTCTATATCCTTGACATACCACATGTATTAAGTCGTCATCACGCAGAGATATAACGTAAACGATATTCAAATTTCTCATTTCCATTTAAAACCAGATACAAACGTATTTGTGCTGCAGATCAACCGTTGGCAGTTAAACACCGTTACAGGCACGAGACTCACTGCCAAATGACAACTTCATTTACGTTTAACAGCCAGCGGGTGGGCTTTACTATAAAACACCAGTAACGTTACGCTCTTAACCCAAACATATTCAAAACACATTTTGTGTATAAACATAAATTATCTGTACAGCTTTAATGTTCTTTTAATTCTCGCGATAATCGCTGTCGCAGTTAACAGCCACAAAATCAATCACTGAACTCTACTGGCGCGTTCCTCTTCGATACAGCCTAGTTCTGACTAACGTTAACGTTAAGGGTTAAATAAAAAATATACCTGCTCTGTGAAACCTAAAACACATAACCAAATAAGATCCTTATGAGAACAGCAGAATAAAAACTCAAACATCTAAGTTGCAGTGAAGTCGCACTTCCTGCGGCTCTGGGAATATTGAGGCGTTTGACAAGAGAGCGCCACTCTTCCAAATAATATAAACTGAGGATTTTGCAACAATTCATGTTTTATTCTTCAACGTTACATTAAGGATGCAGACACGTACAAGTAGTCTTGTTGTACTTACCAATAATTTCCGCAATTAACGTTTTTACAGAGATTTCTCTTCTGTCAACTCCAGCGACTCGGACAGCTCCACCTTCTACTTCACTAGTTTAGTTGCAGTCAACTCAGTGCACTGGAAAACACACACAACCGCGTGAACACCGCGACAGGCGCCCAATTCAAAATGGCCACCCGAGGAGTCAGCTTTTCATAATAAAAGTCGAGTTAAAAGGCGTTTATTTATTTATTTTTTTCTTTTGTGCATCCTTTTGAACGTTTTTGTCTTCTTCATTTTATTTTATATTATCTGATTTATGCTAAAGAACTCAAATTACACAATTATATTACTTTCTTTGATTGAACTTCTAAATATTTCATCCAAAGAAAACAATCTTACATTAGTTATAAAATATATTTATACTAGGGACTTTTAGGGATACTACAGGGATATTTTTGTATCGGGACAATATTTCCACACACATTAAACCGCAATATTTTTTTCGCAGTGCCATTTAACCATTAGCATTTTAACCATTTTTGTTTACAAGCTTCCCTTTTGGCGAGGCATCGGAAATGTAAATATATATTTTTAAAATTCATAATAATGAAAAAAACTTAAATTATAAACAGAACAAAAGGTATTCGATCATTTAGCTGACTTTATCAGTGGGAATCTCAGATGTTCTAAGCAGACAGAGACATCTAGTGGACAATAACATTAATGCAGGCATACAAAATTAATAATCATGTAAAAATCAACAGCAAGTTTGTCTGTCAACATACATTGATGACAATAATGATTCAGGCAATTGACTGCAGGTGATTACAATAAAAATTGCAAACACTTTTGGATGACAAGTTTTTAAAATTATATTTTAATATTAGCTATTATTTTAAATAGTAACTAATTTGCATAATTTGAATCTGTACATAAGACATGAACATGAAAACAGTTTAATTTTTTACAAACAAAAGTTTTTAAAGATTAGATTTTGAGAATCTTTTTAATAAAAGTCTTTTGCACAATAAATATTATACATAATCAGGCATATTGCATATGAACATAACCCTCTGTGATAATCTTCAGTATACAGATTTGAAGTAAACTGAAGTGCTCCTGAAATGGTGATTTATGAATCGATGTAAATAAAAAAGTACATACTGTAAATAAAAATTACGAACTGAATCTACTGATAAATATCGATAAATACTTTAAAACTGTCGTTTGTATGTTTTTCCTTAAGAGTAAAAAAAAACATTCAAAATCTCACAACTAAAAGGTGTATGAAAAAATGCCTGCACTGTCTCACCATAAAGACATGATAATAATTCAACTCTAAACTAAACAATCATTCATGTTGCAATCACAACATGATCCAGCAGATGTCCCAACTCTTCATTTGATTCTTCACATGTCTGTCTCCTTCATGGTTGTCCTTCAAAAAGAGTCACAGCTGGAACAGAAGAATTCATTATAAAAATGTCATTTTGTTGTGTAATTTTCACTTCATCCTTGGTTAAATTAAAAATACGAGCCCAATAAATTATACGAGAGTGCACATAGGCTTACTTGGTGTGCTTCTATGGGATCTCTGTGATGCACGGAACCCCTCTTTACTCAGTCTAGGCACTGGAGGCCTCACAGGACCAGGACGTATCCCTGCATTCCACTGGGACGTCTGGGAAATTCTCTTTATGGAGTCCTTGTCAGCCGGAAGTGCTTCCAAATTCCGTGCTGCCCATTTCGGCCTGTTATGGCTTGGCTTTCCCGCCTTACTGAGATCCAGGGATAAAAACATCTGTGGAAAAAATATATACAAATGTTTTCCATATACAGCTATGGGGAAAAATGATACAAAATTCTCTGTTTGTCTGCATTTATTAGGTATGTGATTGAGTGAAATGTTAACATTTACCTGAGATCGGATCAAATTTATTCCAAATTTCCAATAAAAATCTTGTCATTTAGAGCATTTGACTTTTTGGTCATTGTTTTATTATTGAAAATCACTGTTATTCCACCAAATAGTGATGTCTAAACTAGACTGTGCTGTCCAGAAATTAATATATACAGATCTAAACATGCTTGTATTTTTACATAGCGACATATGCAGTATGAGGTCAATTTTCTTCCCTCAGCAACACAGTGTTCTCTTTTTTTCTCTGAGGCACCATATTTCCATGATATTCTACATGTAGTCTGTTCAGTATGCGTGATGCCTCTTGGTTATGTCGTCTCTGGAGAATTATTTGCATTCTGCTGTGGCTGCTGCGTGATTTCTATGCGAATCAACAGTGCAGTCACACAACAGTTGTATTGGCTTACCAATGATTTGGCCTTGCGCAGCTTGTATGTTGAGTGAGATGGTGCTTTAATAGTATCTTCTTGCCTTGTCTTTAAGAGCCTGTAGAGATAAAGACAAATTATTTTTTGTTGGGATTAGGCATGGGACGATAACTGATTTCAAGTATACAGCGGTTTAGAAAAGTCAAGGTTTTAAAACCGTCAAAATTTTCTGCTATACCGTTCCTAGGCATGTGTAAGATTTTTTATTTACATTTTTTTAGGATAAAAGTACATACAGCAGAAAAGATATCCAAAGATGCTGTTTTAAATAGTAAAAAAAATCTGTTTTTGAAACAAATGAAGACAGCAGAAGTCAATGAATTATTCATTTAGCTTGACATGTTTAATGTTGCAAAATAATTTTAATGTTACTCAAAATAAGATATGTTGTGTTTAAAAGGGAAAAAAGTTTTCCCAGACATTTAAAAATAGATATTTTAGAGCAGTAATCACAATACCGTGATACCTTGATATTTTTATCCAAGGTTATCATACCATCAGAATCTTATACCGGCCGATGCCTAGTTGGCAGTTAAGCTAACAATTTTTAATAGCTTTACAGATCATAAAATGCACAACAATAATGAAGCAAATCTGTTAAATGAGTCACATATAGTTTTTGTGGTTTTATTTTTTATTACTTCTTCCCTAAAAGTACATATCATGTGTATATTTAACAGTATGGAGTTGATAGTAACACACAAAATAACATTTTAAACATTGGAATATAGTTTAAAATAGCTTCAAAAATGTTTTATGCTTAAGAAACATTTATTATTATTATTATTATTATTATTATTATTATTATTATTATTATAAATGTTAAAAAACAGTTTTACTGCTTAATTTATTGGTTACATTTTTAAATTACTGGAAATTCTTTCAGTATTCTTTGATGAATAGAAAGAAAATAAGATAACAAGATCAAAGCCTTTACTGTCAACTTTAATCGGTTTATTGTAATCTAATGTAAATATTAAATTACTTTAAAATGATCTTATAAGAAACAGCAGTCTACCACCTGCATGTGTGCGAAACCAAACAGGTCATAATGAGGCACATTCACTTACGCTTTTCTTGCATGTTCACCCGGGTGGAGATTATCCAGATAGTTAAAGCGTATGGTGTCAGTAGGATGCCTGTCTGAGTCTCTCCATGGAGGAAGACCTTTGGCTGATTTCCCCAAGTCATTCCCATTTTTACTCCTCCCATGCAGACCCAAAAGATCCCTGTGACCGGTCAGAGGAAGTGACCCTTCTGTCTCACTGCCAATGACTTTCACATCAGGGACAATGAACTCTTCCTTCACAGGCACCTGCAATACATGAGAGAACACCCGAATGACATTTATTCCCGCATTTCCTCATGCAGAGTTCTCCAAAATCTCTTACCTTAGGCCTGCTAATGTGAAGCTCTTGTACTGTCTCTATGTATTGCCTCTTCCATACGCCTTGCTCAAATGGTGTCGGAGTAAAGGTTATGCACCAGCCGAGTTTCAGACATTTAGGCATCCACAGCTGGTCAAGCTCCACCAGGTTTTTCCAATGCCAGCTCACCTGCAAGCAAAAATATTACTATAATCAGAGAATGCACTAATGTCATGGAAACAGTAACATTTCACAGTTCAGAGTCATTGTATTTTATTTCTTTTAAGAAAATTATGACTTTTGTTCAACACAGGGATATATTCGGTTGCAAATAAATATCCTTGTTCAAATCATATCTTTAGAATTACATTCATAAAAAACCTGTCTTTAGCTATGGCCTTCAATTACAGAATATGGGGAAAAAGGCTTTTAAATACGCAGCACCTTTTGCATGGAATAAACTACAAAGTGGTCGTTTAAAGAATTGATTTTACTAAATGCTTTTTTAAAAAAAGTATAAATGATTTCGAAATTGAAACACAGGCTTATAGATGTTTTGGATAGTTTGTCAATGTGTGATTCATGTTAACTGTTAATAGCTTTTTGTTTGTTATCTGTTAGACCCATGTGACACGTATACTGCCTAATCTTGGCCAGGATGCTCTTGTAAAAGAGATTTTTAATCTGGTAAAATCCTGGTAAAATAAAGATAATAATAATAATAATAAGAAGAAGAAGAAGAAGAAGAAGAAGAAGAAGAAGAAGAAGAAGAAGAAGAAGCTTTTCTTTTGAGCTTATTTATTTATTATTGAATTTTTGAATTTGACAAAACAAAATCCATCAGTTCCTATAGAAACATAATTTTTAACTGTGACAATAATCTTAAATGTTACTTGGGCATCAAATCAGCACATTAGAATTACTGTACTGTTACTGTGGCTGTTGAAGATTTAGCTTATATATTTGCCATAAATGTATTCAAATAGTAAACAGATTTTTTTTCAAATATTTGAATACAATATTTTAATATAATGTTAATAAATGCATCATAAATGCATGATTTTTCTCCAAAACAATAATAAAACTTAAATGCCAGATTTTTAAAAACTTTAATGAATATGATATGCAAATATTATGTATAGTGTTTACGCCTTTTTTATTAATAGCATTGCAATATAAACAGAATGCCAATTATGTGGTTTTATTTCTGTAGTTGATTTATAAATGCTGTTTTTTTGAGCTTTCTATTTATCAAACAAAACAAGTCCATCAGTTCCTACAGAAACATCATTTTTAACAGACAATAATCTTAAATGTTACTTGAGCAACGAAACTTAAATGTTACAGAATATTTAGCTAATATATTTGCCAAAAATTTACTCAAATAGAAAACAGATATTTTTTAAAAATATATATGGAGACAATATTTTAATATAGTGTTAATAAATGCATCATAATCATAATAGACAATATATCAAAAAACATTTACAAAACTTAAATGCCAGATTTTTTTTAACATTAGTGTATAAAGTATGCACATATTATGCATAGTGCTTATGCTGTTTTTTATTAGTAGCATTAAATCTTGAATATAATGCCAATAATGTGGTTTTATTTTTGTGGTAGATTTATAAATGTTGTTCTTTTGAGCTGTTTATTTATCAAATAAAACAAAAGTTCATCAGTTCCTACAGAAACATCATTTTTAACAGAGATAATAATGTTACTTGAACATAAAATCAGCATATTTGCTAATATATTTGCCATAAATATATTCAAATTGTAAACTTTTTTTTTAACAAATATTTGACAGCAGCTAGCTTTCTGTCACTCTTACATGGTCGCCCACTGAAGCATGGCTGCACCCCGTTACCTGGATGGGAAACCACTTGATAAAGCTAGGTTGCTGCTGGAAGTGATAGTGGTTAGTGAGACCAGCATATCGGTGCCCAACCTGCGGTCTGTGAGGGTCCTAATGCCACAATGTATTGATGGGGACTCTATACTGCTCAGTGAGCGCCGTCTTTCGTCAAACCGAGGTCCTGACTCTCTGTGGTCATTAAAAATCCCAGGATACCCTTCAAAAAAAGAGTAGGGCAAATTTGCCCACCGGCCTCTGTCCATCATGGCCTAAACACAAGATTAAACACTCTGCCCGTATCTAAAAAAGAATTTAATATTGTTTGTAAGGCCATCTCCTTTGAACTTTGTATACTTTTTAGAAATAATAATAATACATTAATTTTTGTTTGTTCCTCTAGTCCTGATTCTGTTTTTGGATCTATTTGTTTCTCCACTAAAAAAATCATAAAATCAGATCTTTATTTTAAGACTTTGTCATTTCACATCCTTCTTCTATTTCTTATTGGAACAACCTCTTTGATGATATTAAATGGTCGTATATTTGGTCACTCCCCTAGAATTTCTTTTTTTTAACAAATAAAATTAAAGAAATATCTTAAAAAATTATACACAGATTTTATCCAGTTAAACAATTTTTACAAAACTTCACAAATGACATTAACATGTCGTGCACTTTCTATAAGTTTTCTATTTCATAATTTCTATTTCTTCTTCTGAATCTATTGCTCACTTGTTTTGGGAATGTCCCTTTGTTAAATCTTTGTGGTCTGATGTATATTCTTTAATTGTCCAAAAGGTTTGTGGTGATTTTTCTTTAATTTCATTTAATTTTTATGTTGTTTTGGGGTTTTATATTTAAGAAAAACAATTCCTTAAATCAACTTTTTGCATCAACCTCATCTTATTTATTGGAAAGTTTTTTTTTACACAAATGCAAATATACTCAATGTAAGCCCCTTTTTTTTACTTTTTAGAGAATTGGAACTGTATTTAAAAACCATCACAGACTCTCACAACAAGAAAACAATTAAAACATAAAACATGTGCTTTATTTAATATTCTGCATTCATTTGTTTTATTTTGTCATGTGTTCTTATTTTTTTGTTTCTTTTTTCCTCTCTCTCTCTGTTTTTCTTTTGCTTTACATTTTTTTAATTTATTTTAAAATTGTTACATTTGTCTTGTTGCAAAAAATGTAATATTTGTATTGCTTGTACTATACTTCTATCAGTTTTGTATTTCTATTTGTTGTAATGGCCTGTTGTTTTTGCAAAAAATAAAAAATAAAAAAATAAAAAAACCATGGCCTCTACACTGGTGGTGAATAAACAGATTCCCAAATGTGTAAAGCATTTTGAGTGTCCCGTAAAGCTCTATATAAATGTAAGAAATTATTCATTATTTGAATACAATTTTTTGTATGGTGTTAATAAATGCCTCATAAACATAATAGGCATTTTTCTTAAGTATTTCCCATACAGTAGTGTATACATTATGCACATAATATGTATGGTGTTTATGCAGTTTTATTTTTTATTAGTAGCATTAAAATGTTGGTAGCATTAAATAATGTGATTTTATTTCTGTGGTAGATTTACTTACCTGAGCGCATCTGCAGAGACTCCTGGGGTCTAGATATGAAAATATATATAGAGAAATGACCCTGGGAAGGACCGTGGTGAAGTCGAGGGTTTCTTCTGGTACCCAGCTGCTCAGAGTCTGTCTGAGATGTTTCAGCTGGCCGGCAGAACATCTAGAGAAAAAATCTTGTAGCACCTGCTTCCGCTGACTATCCGTCCATTTCTCAAACTGAGTCAAACAAGCAAAGAAACTGAGCATAAATAAGCTGAGCAAACTTGTGTGGTGTTCAAATGGCATTTTGTACAGTAAAGTGCATGTCTTACCCACTTTCCAAGTAGATTTCTTCTCTCTTCAAAAACCTACACAAAAGTTTTACATAATATGCCTTCAGTCTGAAGCATTCTGTGCTATATCACTATATCAATGTTACTGAAGCTGCATATACAGCCAACATATTGATGCTGTATTCCTAATGGTAAATAAAGATAAGAAAATATTGTTTGTCTGGTGTACGTACATGAGCATTGGAGAGCTGGTGATTTAGAGGTGTCCAGGTACTTAGTTTAGTCTGCATTTTTGTGCTGGGTGCTTTAGGCATCTTTTCTCATTGAAGTTCAGACGTTTGAGGATCAGTTCCATTCAGTTATTCCTCCGTAAATCTGATTTCATACACAACATCAGAATCACGTAAGCAAAATAGCATGATGTTAAGGTAAACAAATGTGCTGTGATTTTTCACACTGGCAGCAATGAAATATGTCATAGTACAATGCATTAGGTGAAAAAAAGAAGAAATCAGACCTACCATGTACAGCAGTGTCAACACGAATGAATAATGCTAGCCATCATAACGAAAACATTACACTAAAATGTTTAGTGACTCGATACTGATGTTTTTGGTCCTCCGGCTCGGTTCAGTTTACTAGTCTCCATAGCAATCACACTCTGTCCCGCCTCTTTCCAAACGCTGTCGATGCTCAATTCACGACTGAATTGTTCAACTGAGTCGGATCTTTTACATAATTCAGTTAAAGGAGTTGAGAAAAGCTGTGAATAAAAGAAGCTGACAAATAAAACGAAATTAAGTAAATCGCTAGTCAAATAAAAGAAACTTTACAGATTAAACTTAAATATTTATGCTAATTTATGACTTTATTGTTTTGAAAGTTATCATTACGATAGGGGTTTACAAATTAATGTTATTAAAGAGCATTTTAAAATATGCATTTATTTAACCAAGATATACATGAATTTTAATTGCACTTATTTTATTAGGTATCAAATCATCACATTAATACAGTTATGATAAAGAAAACAAGTACATAAAATAAAATGACGTTTATTTCAGTTGTTTTTAAGGCATTATATATGTTTTTTGTGTACTGGTGGGTTCAAATATAATTTAAATTCATTTATAAAACGGACAAGTCTGGATTGCAAAGACTTTTTATCTGAATATTTATTTTTCTAGAAATTTAGGCAATAACTGAACAATTCTTAACTTTTCAAAATGTCATTCTGAAGACAAAAAGCCACCTCAAAATACACAAATATCTTATTTTTATATTGTTTAGGACGTGCTAATGCTACACAACTATCAGAGTGGGATTTTTTTTATTAAAACAACCGCAAATATACTACAATTTAAACAAGACATCCAAAAATACAAATGTAACTAATAACATAAAATAAACAAAAATATAAATTACGTAAAATAAATAAAAGGACAGCCTCATCATAGAAACCTTTACAATAATATTAAGATTCAACCTACCCAATTGACAGCAAGTTTACTATTCAATTAACTTCAGCTCCTTTGCAACTACAATTGTATCTTGACATTATTTGCTATTAATATATTTGAGTGAGTCTATATACAAATGAAAATCTATAATAGAAACCTTTTTAAAAAAGGTTAAGAGTTATTCAATCTACATTTATGAATATGAAATTTACCAAATATAATCTAGAGATAAATTGTTTGAGAAAAAATAAAATATAATTTATTTGAGGGTCAAATTACATCTAAAACCTGTTTTTTTTTGGGGGGGGGGGGGATTCATAAAAAATATGAATCAAAGACTCTGAACGAGCACTTTTTATCACTCATCAGAGTGTGAATATGCGATGATGTAATTACGACATGACGTAAAAGAATAAATGAATCTTCAAAAGCCGACTCTTCCAAATCATATGCCCAAAAGAACCGAATCCCGAAAACAACTCGGACTTCCCACCACAACACACCGCCCCTCATTCCAGGCAACCACAAATCAACAGCGCCAACTTCATTTCATTATAGTGCTGACGCTCGCCGCTCCCAGCGCGACTGCATTAATGATATCTGTAGAGAAACCCAAGCCATCCCGTTTGCTTACAGAATGTGTTTTTCCACGCTTATTCGTGTGACGTAATACGATTTAGGACGCTTTTATATTGAGCGAGTCAAATGCGCGCGCCCGTACAAATCCACAAAACCTGCAGAAAGAAAGACACAAGGCGCTCGTATTGTTAGAGAAGCGGAGGGGACTCCTGCACGTGAAGGAGAGGTAAGACAGACTTTAAAAAATCATTATATCGATCATTTTAGCTTATGAGCACGTTATATTCGTGAAAAACAGGAATAATTGACCTCAAAGTACATTAGATACCTATTTTGAAGGTAGTATTTTCATTCACAGCGATTTTGCTGCGCGCCTCCCGATGGAGAAGGTCTCATCTGTTAATAAAGGAAGGGTAGCTGTTTGCCTTTTTCGACGAAAACGCGACATTTTTATCCCATTATTGTTACAAATTAACTATTACTAACAACACAAAATCATGGTAAATGTAGCATTCGTCAGTTTGGCAGTAAAATTAGAGGTTCTGGGCGATGCCGGTGTGCTGAAGCGCTTTTTTGCCTAAGGTGAAAGGTGTTTACTGAGCGTTTGGCCTCAAAATGTAATTAAATCGATATAATAGCTAGATGTCAGGCACTAACAAGAATAACCACACATCATTTTGTGTAATCACAGTCTATCACTTTTTTGGCTATCATCTTTTTAAAATTATTTTTGAATCAACAAAGAAGGAAAGACTACAAAATGCATCTTTTATTATTAGTATTATTATTATTATTGTTTTTATTATTATTATAAATGTCAGGGTAAAAAAAAAAGCATCATAATGTCATAAATGTGTTACATAGATTGCACAAGAGTTTTACAGAGAGGTAAAGCATCAAATAAGCGCATAAAAGAAAAATATAACCTAAAAACAGATAATATAAAATCATGTGTTAAACTAATTAAAAAGGAAAATAAGTTAACAGATTTAATAGCTTTCATTTTAAGAGAAAGCAATAGCTCTAATGTACTGTTGAAGTTCCTTTTCAAAAACAATAATAGTGTATACGAATTTACAGCGGTGTATATGGATTTTTGCAAGAATTAAAAGAAGGTTAATAATGAAATATTCCTTACTTTTATCATAAGGAGGACTATTGAAAAAACCCAGCGGGATAATCCTTAAAAGATAACAAGAGTCCCGGTAGTATTTTGTAATGAATAACCAAAGAAAGTTCAATACAAATGCATTGTGTTTGAGGGCAATTCCAAAAAACATGATCAGCAGTTTCATTGGGTTTGTTACAGAAAGAGCAGCATGTCTGACTTGTTTATTTATTTATTTATTTTTAAAAATGTCTTGACTGAGTAAAATCTGTGTTACAGTTTGAATAAAATTTCTCTAATTTTACTACATCTAAAAATACAGCCATGACTATTTTGAGCAGTTACAGAAATTGAATTCAGGTTATTAAACCCTTCATATTTAATGAGAAATATATTTAGGCCTGTCACAATATCTATTTTTTGTTGTTTGATATATTGCACCAAAATATATTGCGATAAACAATATTATTGTCATTTTAAGACCATTTTATGTCACTCACTATATAATGCCAGAATGTCAATATACTATCATAATGCAAGTACACTCTTCCAAAGAACATATAATATTTTATTCTTAAGAAAATTTAATTTAATTATAGTTGTTTTAACAATTTAATAATAGGCATTAGAATCAGAATGTAAGTAAATACTATAGCAATTTTTTTTTTAACCATACTGACACTGACACCTCCAGTATAGATAGAGAAGTTGCACAATCAGCTAAAATGTTGCTAGATTTGTTTTTTATGTGGGCGATATATATTGCATCACCAAAAAGGATTGTGGTCATGTCCATGTGTTGTGTGATAAGCCAATAAATTGATTATTGATTATAGACCTAAATATATCCACAAAATATATCTTATAACAGTTTAATTACTGTCACTGAATTCCAGTTCTAACACATTTCATTTTTATGACCAACTTCAGGTCAGAGCAGGATAGTATTGTGTCCTGTGCTCATTCTATTATTTCTGATGTTGAAGTTTCCCCGAGGTAATCCAATTTAAAAAGCCTCTTTTATTTGCTGCCAGTGTAATATGTCAGTGCTTTTTGATCATTGTTCACTCTGGAAACATTTCCCATGCCTTGAGAGATCTCTTCTAGATGTTTTTCATGTTTAAATAAACTGTCGCCCCATTCATGAATAATTAATGTTAGTCTGTTCATTTCGCACATGACATTTGATGCTCTTCCCCTCGCAGATGGAAATGCATATCTCCTAAATGCCTGGCACGCAGACATAGCAACACTGGATGGACATGCATTGAAAAGCACTGGATCTGGCTCAGCAAAATGGGGAAGCACACTTTTATCCGTGCAATTTCATCCTTGTGTCAAGCAACAGATAATTAATGAGGGAATGGAGGAGCTCAGATTTTCTTGATTCAACCCGTCCTTTGCAAGTCACAGCACAGACGGACGCACCATGGTTCTGCTTTGGGCTCTGTGCTCCATGCTGACTGTATGCATGGCCATCAATATGGAGGCTACTGGAAGCCATAGCATGTTTAGCTGTGAGCCCATCACATTGAGGATGTGCCAGGGCCTTGCCTACAATACCACCTTCATGCCCAACCTTCTGAATCACTATGATCAGCAGACTGCTGCTCTCGCCATGGAGGTAAACCAATTCACATTGCATTACTTTAACCTAGAACTAGCGCTGATTTTCATGCTCTAATAATGTGGTGTCCTTGTAAGGGTTGTGTCTAGATATAAATGTATGCAGTCCTATATAATTCTCTGAGAATGTAAAAGGAAAAACTATAGGGTTTTAGTGATGATCTGATTCTAATGTGAAGTCCGCTGAATAACCAGGATTTGGTTGACAGATAACCTTTACTATTTTTGCATACAAATGGCATTAGTGACTAGAAGGTGATTAGATTCAACTTTAGTGTCATTACGCATGTACAAGTACAAGGCAACGAAATGCAGTTTAGGTCTAACCAGAAGTGCAATAGCAGCAAGTGCAATTATAGAAAAACTATGGGAAAAATGTACAGATGGATGTACTATGAACATGATATACAGGTTGTATTAACTATGATCAGAGATTTACAATAGATAAATATATGTACAGGTTGATATTAATAATCAGAAGTATGCGGATATACAGTTAAAGTAGAATTATTAACCCCCTTGAATTATTAGCCACCCTGTTTATTTTTTCCCCCAATTTCTGTTTAACAGAGAGATTTTTTCAACACATTTCTAAACATGATAGTTTTAATAACTCATTTTTAATAACTGATTTATTTTATCTTTGCCATGATGACAGTAAAAAATATTTTACTAGGGATTTTTCAAGACACTTCTATACAGCCTAAAGTTACATTTAAAGGCTTAACTAGGTTAATTAGATGAACTAGGCAGGTTAGGGTAATTATTCAAGATATTGAATAATGATGGTTTGTTCTGTAGACCATCGAAAATAAAATTGCCTAAAGGGGCTAGTAATTTGGACCTTATATTGGTGTTTAAAAAATTAAAAACTGCTTTTATTCTAGCCAAAATAAAACTAATAAGACTTTCTCCATGAAGCAAAAAATATTATCAGACATACTGTGAAAATGTCCTTGCTCTGTTAAACATCATTTGGAAATATAAAAAAAAGAAAGAAAAATTCAAAGGGGGGCTAATAATTCTGACTTCAACTGTATATGAACATGATTACAAATGTATATGTGCAGTGGACATGTACAATTCAAGATGAATTAGTTCAACGTATTGCAATGAGTATGTACAGTTTTAAATGTGCAAATATTAAATAGTGATTATGGGGAGTATAAGTTATGAGGAGAGTGTGGGGGTGCATGATCATTTTAGTATTAAGTAAATTACGAAAAAAAAAATGTAATAGTATACCAGATTTTTTAATTTATTTCATTAGCTGGCAAACATTTACTTCGGGCTTCATAAAGAGCTCTCATCATCATGCTCTAATAACCACATGGCCTTAACAGCAGTCATATAGATGTGGGTTGTGCATGTATTCATGTGTACGTGTGCTTATACATTTTCTTTTCTAGTGAGAAAAAAGAGAGAGAGCAAATCAGGTTTCAAACAAAACTATAAAATAAAAAACTTCTACTTGAACAATAATAATAATAATAATATATATAATAAATATTAGCTATACGAAAAAAGAAATGTGCATAAAAATGTATTTTATTTCAGCTAATTGCATATAAATAATATAAATATGCACACACACACACACACACACACACACACACACACACACACACATATATATATATATATATATATATATATAAAATTTTTCAAATAATAATTTTTTTTAATCATTTACTTTTAACCTGTTTTGCAAATACTTAACTTCAAACTTAAACAAAAAAAAAACATTTATAATAGTCTAAAATTTATATGTAGACCATTTTGATGGATGTAAACAAAAACAATGGTCCCAATGTATTTCCTGTTGTACATTTTTAATTTATATAGCTTCCGAGAATCTAAAGAGAGTCACATATTGATAAATAATGTTATGATAGCTGCTTTAACATTAAGTTGTGATTGAATTGTCTCTTGCTACAGTTATGAAATAGTTTGACAACAAGCAGGAAATGTTCATGGGCCAATGACATGACCACATAGAAATGGTCAATTTAGTAATATTTGAAAATAATAGAGCAATGATCATTTTTGTTACTTTATAAAAACGTTTAAACTAAATTAAAAAAAAAAAATTTTAATCAAACATTTTAAACGTTTAACTTTAGAATATCTAAAACTACAAAATCGAGAGACCTGTTTTAAAAATATTATTGCAAAAACATTCACTAAAAGGAAAGCAGGACGTAAAAACTAGTTCTAATTAAAAACATGAAATAAAAACTACAATATTGACTTAATTGTACTAAATTATCTCCTCAAGTAAAGGAATTTTCTGACTAGGGCTGGACGATTAATCAAAAAGTAATCGAAATCGACATTCAGAACCTATAATCGATCAAATTTTTCCAAGTAATTTTTAAAAATTTGTTTCCCTAATCCCTACCGCATGTGGAGTCACATGAGCCTGCTCTGTTAAGGCTAATTTATACTTCTGCATTAAACGCACATGGTCCGGCGCAGCCTTTGTGCGGTTGTATACCCGCCCACCTCTCAAAAGAAAAACTTCACAACATGTTGGACATCTGCACTATATTGACTATGACTGGAAGCTGCGATTGGAAGCTATTACGATAAATTTATTATTTACATAAAATATTTGTCTAGAGAAGATTCAAGAAATGCATTGTTTAAAATATTATTTATAGGATAAACATGAGTTATTTTATTAGCAAGAGATACTGCTTATTTTCTACCTTTGAAATCAATTATTAAATATTTTGTTTCCAAAAGTGCCAAGTAATTTGTTTTCACTTTTTTTTTATAAGAAAAAAAGTGACTGTTGGTTTTAGGCAATGTGTGTTTTCATTTCAGTTGTTCAACGTTGATATTCAATGAATAATCATAAAAAGTAAATAATGTGTATTTACTTCAATTATTTTAAAATAAAGTAATGCACGCTTCATTTAGAAATCTCTCACTTGTAATATGTGAGCATATTTACTGTACAAAACCTGTCGGTGAACTATGAAGGCAAATAAATAAATAAAAGAATCGTTTATTAATTGTAATCGAGTTAGCATGTTCAATTATAATAATAATGACGTAAATATCATAATAATAAAGTAAATCCCTCTTCAAAAGCATTTTGTCTCTTTTTTCTAACACAAAAAAACAACAAATACAAATTGCAAAAGTGCATCCCTTTAAGCGCATGTACCAAAAGCACCAAGATTTGCCATTTTCAATTTGACCCAGTTCTTTCTCGTGCCTTGCAGATAAATCAGATCACATTACAGAAACGTTTAAAGGGAAATTAATCTTTAATCTGTCCCACAGGGCTGCTTGCAATGTCTTCATTTCTGAACTATCTTGCTGTTTTAAACAACATTTCAGGTCCTCTTTTGCTTGTAGCTTAGATGAAATAAGCATCTTACAACTACTCACGCAGCAAGGTTGCTTTCCATCAGCATGCTAGTACTGTATATGCCGCAGTCGCTGATGGTATGAGCATTTAATGATACTTGAGCACATTGTTTATTTTGATTGCTCCGTAATCTTTGTATCTGCAGCCACAACGCCTGGTTTGATTCTAGCCGATGGGTAATCCTCTTTACCGGGCTGCAGTTTTCAGCTGAGCCCGACTGAGAACAGCAGCATTAGCTTGTTACAGTGGTCAGTGTGTATCTGTTGAATAGACACTGCACTGTAAACGTTATCTAAAACCTGCTGTCCTCAGTCACAAGGTTTTAACTTATTCACTCCGGCCCTGCCTCAGTATAATCGAGGGATGGGATAGGAAATTAAAGAGATAAAATGAAGAAAGACAGGAGGATAGAGACGAGCCGAGGCAACCCATCTGTTCATCCTCTTGTACATTTGTGTGGAAATGTGGAGTTACATAACCTTTTGCACTGTAACCAGCACAAACACATGCAGAAAAGTGATGATACTTTTTAAATCCACCATTGCACAAAGGATTAAAAGATGGCTGTAGAATATATCGAAATGCATTTTTGTACAATTCACACGTAACATGGCAGGATATATTTTCCAAGCATTGTATCAATAATAACAATACAATGATAGTAGATAGAAGTACAGCCCTCACAAATCTATCTTTTACATTATTATTTTTAATAAGAAGCTATACAATATTATATTTGTGCATATACATTAGCCAGTGCCGAACCAAATCTGGCACTAATCTAACAAAATAACTTATGATAACGGTCCAAAAATATGCACACACAAATGTTTATGTTAAAGAAAACATAAAATATTATGTATGAAATATTAAAATAATAAATAAACATTTTAAAATGATCTTTATCATTTTATTTTTATGATTTTTAAAAATCAACAGAAACAAAATATATATATAAAATTTTGTTAAATCTTATTAAAAATATTTCACATAGATTTAAATGTGTTCTTTATATTTTTAAAGATGTTCAGTGAATAAAAGATTATTTTAATAAATATATCTGTTTAATAAATCAGTTTTGTTTAAATGCACCAATGTATGTTAACTATATTTACTGAGAAATCAATATAAATATTCATTTTCAAAATAGGGTGTACTCAATTATACTGAAAACTTTATATAGTACTGTGACTGTGGGGTTTTAAGCTTTTTCAGGCATAAGAAATTGTACCGCTTGTAATTTCAATTACAAATCAATAACAAATCTTTCTTTTTCTTCAATTGTTTATAAAAGAAGACTATGCAGTATGATTTTTTCATTTGATTATTCAATTACTGTATACCAGAATATATTTCGACTGTTCAGAAAACAATCAAATGCGGTTTATTTAATTCGCATATTTTTCTTTATTGAATTTTTCTATGCTTGTAGTTTGTTTATTAACTTTTTTGCACCCCCCACCCCCACAATTATTTTAATCAATCCAAAATAATAGATTCTTTATAAACATTTTACTCAACTATTGAAATTGTATGCATATCGCAATACATATCGCAGATCAAGAAATATCGCAATTTGAAATTTTTTCATTATCGTGCAGTCCTATATATATATA